CGCGCACCGGGCGCGAGGCCGAGGCCGGCGCGGTGGAGGCTCGCTCTGTACAAGTCACCTGGTCACTCAGAAGTCTCACGCCTCATGCAGGTGAGGCGGGACATAGAAACAGGATCACTGACGCCCCTGCGGCCGCTGGGCAGACAAACATGACAGCTGTGGGAAGATCCTCCAAGCCTTTCCGAGATGAGAAAGAATTCTCCAGAACCAGCAGCTTCGGAAACCGGAGGCCGCGCTTACGAGGACTCTGCTTGCCTTTACGCCTGTCTGCACTTGACTTTGAATGTCACGGAATCCGGTAAAAAGCAGGGTCTAGTACCTTCCTCCTGGGAACAGTGGGCAGCTTGAAACTGCGGCTGATCTCCTGTGGCCTGCGTGGTGCGGGGCATGGCTCTGGGGGCAGGTCCTCCTCACGGCCCCGTCCCGTCCCCTCCTTCCTCTGGGTCGGCTTCCACCGGACACCAGCTTCGGCGCCGCCAGGCCGTCTCCAGCCTTCGGAACTCTCTGCCGCTGCTGGCGGCGGCATGCGCCTGCTCATTCGTGCTGGGGGCCCACTGCCCCGCCCGGCCGAGTTCCGTGCTCACAGCTTGGCCTTCAGACCCTGGGCAGCCTGGCCCGAGCCGGCGTCTGCATAGAGACGACGCTTGTCTTAGTTGACAGCACGTACTGCGTGGCACACGTCCCACAGTGCTCTCCAGCCGTGGTCGTCGTCTGCCTTCCAGGCTGTGGGCAGGAAGCCCAGCTCACTCCGGCAAGGAAGCGGTGCACAGGTGTGTTCTTTCTGGACCATGACTGACTGCTGCCCAATGCTCCACCTTGGTGACAGCATCGCGACGGAGGAGCTGTGACCTGCACGAGCAGCCGAACGCCAGTAGCTGACGCACGATGGGCGGGAAGTGAGGATAAGGATGACCCGTTCCCTCCAGCTCTGCCCCTCCCGACCAGTGCGCACGCCTGCCACAGGCCAGGTTCCCGTGCTGTCCGCGGTCATCACAGAGCAGAGTCCGCGCTCCTGGCTGTGCCTAGAGGTGTGAAAACCAGCTCTCCTGGGGAAGAAGCCGGATTTGGAGCCTTGATGAGTCTGTGGCAGGCTAAATGCATACCTTCCCTTCCACCTCCTGAGGTCTAGCCGGGCTTTTACCAGATCAGCAGAGATGTGTGAACAGGAGAAAGTCCGATTTGAACACGTGCGCACAGGGAATTCACATAAGCATGAAAATTCCAAAGACAGCAAGGCAACGTTGGGTTTATGTGACATTTTGGACAAAGGAGAAAAGCGGGGAATGGGGGTCTTAGATATCGAAAGTGAGAATGAGTGATTTGCAAGTAATTGAAGAAGAGCAGACACGTGGCAGGTCACCCAGAAAACAGTGAGACGTGGGGTGGTCCAGCGGTAAGGCCCCCGCCTGGAGTCTGTGTGATGCTCAGGGGGTTTGCGCAGGGCCCCTTCCGAAACCAGGCTTTTCCATCTGAATCTCTTGGGCAGGAAGGTGGCGAGGGCCCAAGGTTCTGAGTCTTTTTCTCTCTTAACAACCAGCTGAAAGTCAATATCCCAAAAGGCAGCTTTAGGGCGGCAAAACCTTGGTCCCCTTCAATTCCTAGGTGTAAATACCCCTAACTGGGCCAGATCTGAAGCTCCCAACTGTTGTCCTTGGAGACTCCAGCTCATGGCTGCCTGTCCCCTAGGGTTGGGACCATGAGCAGAACACAGACCTGGCTCAGCTGTCCTTTACACACCCTTCCCCGTGTGCCCTCACATGTCTGCAGCTCAGTTTTTACCATCTTGCGTCGTTTCTTTTGATTGCAGTTTTTCTGGAGAGTCCGTTTCTCCTCCTAGATCATGGGCGTTGGGGCCTGGCGGACAGGGCAGCCTCAGGTGAGCCCCAGGTAGCCTGGAGAGAAGGAAACACCAGCTGCGGGTTCCCTGCCTTGTTCATTTGCCGTGGAAATGGTGGCTGCGTATCGTCAGCCAATGCGGACGCCGCTCGTGGAGCAGATTTATAATTAGAAGCAAGTACTATATCCTGTATTGAAGACTTCCTAAAATTCTGCAAGATCCTGGCACCTTTGTGTGGAACCCCCATTGCCGATCTTCAAAGGAAACTTGGGGCTCCTTGCCAGCACGGCCTCCTCAGTGGCTGCGTCTTCTCCACCTCTGGGCTGCGCGGTGCGCTCCGAGAGTCACAGTAGCTTCCTGCTGTGGCTGTCCGTTGTCGCTCCCAGGACACTTCCTCTTGAGTCACCTGGCATGGGCTGCCCGACTGGACCCCCACCCGATGTGACGTCACGTGTGGCTGGACGTCCACACGCTTTTCCTTCTCGTGGAAGGATAATCATGCTCCTTGTGAAACTAGACGTCCCCACTCGATCTTTGGGACCGACTCATTCCCTAGCTCTCTCTTGACACGGGATCAGAAATGGAGTTAGGATTAGGGTAGAAGTTAAACTATAATTAGGAATTAGGTCAAAGCTGCTCCTCTGAGAAAGGACCGCGTTTCTCTAAGCTCGGTTTCTGTGCATCTCTTGGCAGTCTGCTCCCACCTGCAGGGCTGTACTGATTCTCACGCCTGCCTCGGGGGCAGAGTGGCCCGTAGTAAGGCTGGCTGAAAGGCGGACGTCTGTTTTCTTTTTTTCCCCTTGGTTATCTCGGCCTCGGTTCATCTCGTGTAGACCGCGTCAGAGGGCAGTGAGGAGCATCCGGGCTATGGGATCCCTACTACGAGCCGAACTCCACAGAAAATCCTGGTGTTAGGATACTGGTTAGGCTGGCGAGGCTGCTGTTAAGACACCCCAAAATTCAGAGGCTTAAGTGAGAGAAGTTGTGTTTCACATAACAGCCCAAATGTTAGAACAGGACTGATTGGGGCAGCTTCATGGTGGTGAGGATAAAATGCCTCCTCTCTGTGTAGGTACTGTTTCCACATGTGGCCCAGGACAGCCACTCGTCGTCCCAACTGCCTGCCTGCATGTTCCCAGTGGAAAGGAGTGAGCATGTGGAAGGCACCGGCTGTGTACAGCACTGTCCATTGTCCTGCTTTGTTCCTGGGCCACGGGATGTGTTTTTTAGCTAACAGTAGTGTGTCCACTTATGACTGGCAGTTATTAAAGAGTGGAGGCTGGATGCTGATGGCGACGGCCACCACACACTCCTAATCGCCGCAGTCAGTCCTCCTCTCCAAACTGACATGATCACTCCACCAAAGTCCCCAACACTGGGGAGCACCCTGCCACCCCTTAGAGGCATGTATCTAGGTAACTTCGTTTTTAAACTATGAAGTAGTAACAACAACTAACATTTATTACGCCCTTACTGTACAGTGGCTTGTAACATAGCCATAGCTTGTAGCATATAGCCATCCTCACCTCTGAGACAGTGCAGTTACCGTCACCATTTACCTTTGAACGCTGAGGCATAGGGAAATTCAGTAACTCACGCAAAGCAGGTAGGGGCAGGCAGGATACAGCTCTCGTCATTACACAATGGCACATATTCCTAAAAAGGTCAAACCTGGGGAGTGGCTGGGGACAGATCTGTTCTCAGGGTAAGCTTTCATTCTAGCAAGGCATCCTTAATTTTAAATGTAGACAAAATTCACACTAAGAAGGCACAGGTTTTAAGTACACAGTTTGGTAAGGTTTGACAAATGTTGGCCAACGTGTATCTGTTATCAACCCAAGCAAGGTGCACAGCATTTCTTTCACGCCCAGTTGACCGCCATACTCAGAAGCAACCGCTGTTCTGATATCTAGCACCACAGGCTTTGCCTGTTTTTGAGACTCAAACAGAATTGTACGAGATGTACCTCTGTGTGGGGACTCTTGTTTAGCGTGGTTCAGATTCACTCACATTGTTGCTAAAGAGTGTGCCACCACGGGATTCTCACGGTGATTCCAGTTTGTTTATCTAAACACCTGGGTGTTTGCCATGTTAAAGAGAAAACCATGGGCCCAACATGGTGTCACTCTTGCTAGAAGCCCATGACACCAAACCTAGATATAGTAACTGATCTAAATGCAGTTTCAGCTCTCTCAGAAACAATCAACCAGTCTTGAATTTTCTGGTCAGGTTAATGTCACTTGGGCCCTCTCCATCCCCCACACGATAAAGGGGCAATCAGCATGATAAAACGCTTCCAGTTCTCTTCCCCCAACGAAGTTGGCTTAACACCTGTTCCAGGCGATTATGAATAAATTAGGTGCTATGAACATTCTGTGGACTTGGCATTTTCACACCCAAGGCTGCACTGCTGAGCCGGTTTTTCAAAGTGGTTAACTCACTTTACACTGCCAGCAGCAGTGTATGAGAATTCCAAAACTGCTCCACATCCTCACCAAAATTTCATTATTTCAGTTTTCTAATTTTAAGCATTCTGGTGGGTGTTAAGCAGTATGTCTTCGTGAGTTTAATTTTCATTTCTCCCCTCTGATCCGCTGACTCTTCTGTTGTGCCCAGTCAACTGTCAGTACCACCAAATGAGTTGTGATTTTTTTTTTTTTTAACCAAAGATGTCAATTACATTTCTTTAGGTCTTTTTCTCCATTTAAAAAATCACTGTCTGGATTGCACACAGTGAAACGCACCCTTTCGTTGTACTAGCTGAGAGTCCTAACAAGCACAGGCTGTCGTGCCATCGCCACAGTCTACACCAACGCTCCCATCGGTCTCTCACATGCCCCAGGCCGCGTCAGAGGCGACCGCTGCTGCTCCGCATCCTCCGCGAGAAGGCACAGGGTCACATCGCCGCCTCCACCCGTTCCCGGGGGAGACCTGCGAGCCCCACCGTAGCGCGGCGGTACGCGCACTAACTCGGGCCCAGAGCGTGAACATCGCACCGGCCAGGTCGAGCCGGCTGCCCAGGTAACAGGCCGCGTGCCCCGAGCCCGCGTTGCAGACGGGAACCTCCGCCTTGCTCCACGCGGAAAATCTGGGGAGCAGCGAGGGCGCCGGAAGCCGAGCTGTCCGGAAGCTTATACGCACGGTCGTTCCCGGGGAAACAGGCCCCGCCCGGCCCGCGGCCCCG